ACCTCACACTCGACCTGCTACACCCTACTGGTCACGACTTCTCACTAGAACCTACCTGAATAGGGCAAGTCGCTGAACTACTTATTTTGTTAGACGACAGCATTTGAGTAGAAAACAGTAGAAGAAATATGGTTGACATCTCTCTCTATAAAACTACAAGTTACGACATTATTAAGAATTAGCAAAATTGACCGTTTCCAATGCACCTACACTGTACTCAAACATTCATTGTTTATTTCTTGCTGTAGCGTTAAATATTTCTTGGAGAAGAAGCTAATCATACCAATAGTGATGATGATGATGATAATAATAATGAAAATCGATAAACAAAATTTCTACTCATCCAAAGACTCAAATGTCACAAGAAAGAAATAGTGAAATTCATACTTTCCAAATGAATGTCATATGATGTAATCTAAGTAAATTCCATACAACAACTACTGATTTAAATATTGTCATAATTACTAGGTAATGTAATCACATAATCAACACTGTTGATTGAATAAGAAATTTCAATACTTTAATTATTATTTTTCATCGTTAATATTTGTATTAGAAATATTTTTTTTATAAAACATGGATGTTATGCGCACACTACACTTGTAGATCCATACGCTTTTCAGAAATATTTTTTGCTTAAAATTTATTAGAAGCGAATAAAACAGAAAACATAATATCAATTGGCACATTTTTATCAAGAAACAACACCAATTAGAGCGATTCATAAAAACCAGGGAGTACTGGACAGCTGTTTCGTCCTATTGTGGGACCCTTCATCAGTGCGCACCCACAACTTCGTTAGGGAATGAGCAGGAGACCTTCACTTTATGAGAACAAGCTGAACTAAATCTAACGACTCATAAATCCTAACGGTGTCAGCTCGGCTCAATTGGCTGAACAGTTAAGAACCTTGGTCTCGTAATCTGAAGGTTCTAGGTTAGATCCCTGATGGGTTTGTGGATGAACACTGTTGAGAGGTCCCAGAATAGGACGAAACAACCGTCCAGTACTCTCTGATGTTGTTTTGGTGAAAATATCAAAGGGTAAATTAATCGAAAATCCCCATAAAAATCTTATAATTTAAATAACGAAAATGATAATAATTAGGACTGGTATTCATAGATAAAGTGAACGCAAGATGAGCTTGTTTGCTGGCAGAACAAGCAGCCTCAATCCACCTTCAACCTATCTTTCTTACTCTGAAAATATTTTGAACGAAAAATCAAATAAACTGTGACTGTGCGTCGGTGGCATGGCTGTTAGGATGATCGCCGACCATGCACATGGTCCGACGTTCGATCCCCGGCCACCGACGCACTCCTTTACCTCGCTAAGCCAGAAATAATGCTGGCGACGAGGAAAGGTTGGGCATGAGGCTAGCAACCCCATTCTGTAAAATAAACACTGCTACAGAAACTTCAAGCCACTGGCTTGAAGCCATATTTCCCACTTGGGAACTTGAAGGAATTAAAAAATATCCTCAATTATAGCATAAGTACTACTAATCATTAACATCTGAAAGATGAATGAAAGTTCTTTTCGATAATTTGATAGATCATAGAAGAACTTAACATAAGGAGCATGATTAAATGAATCCGATAGGATCAGTTTCATGATTTACAGATTAATTGACGACTTGAAATATATTCACAGTTCCACCACACTTCCCTTTGAAAATGGAAATTATTTAGATCCGCCAACCATAACGTGAGTGGTTTGAATTGATTCGGCTCTCCATGCTGAGCCAAACTGGACACACCACTGACCAGATTGGCCTCATATGGGTGAGTAAAATGGCCATCGCTTTGGCTATCAAGCACTACCGGTTGGCGTGAGTGGCATCCAACTGCTTATGTTAACTAATCAGAAGTATTGTAGGATTATGGATGTTATGATCTCAGGAATAGTTGGTTCAAAGTTTTCTTATGAATTGTACAACACTTTAAGCTTTTTAAACTATTCTGCATCTACAGAATTCAAATTCAGCCAATCCTAAGTGATACATTCATAAATATTTTTATAGTCACTAGAAAAATTAAAATACAAATCTTTCTGCGAAACATCCGTTTTACAAAAAAAACAAAAAGTAGATAAAATTCTAATGCAACTGACCTTACATTTATTCACTCTTGTGTACTGATATGATCAAGTATTATCATTCACTGGATTGTAGATAACAACAGGTAATTGGAAAATGAAAGCACACACAGGAAGCCATAAAACCCAGAAGTAGTAGTATAGTAATCCAGAAATTCACCAAAATACAATGAAATAATAAATAAAATTCATCATCTCATAAGATAAATAAACTCTTCTACGTTTTCTTTGTTTGTTTGTTTGTTTGCTTCTGATTTGGTTATATTTTCAAAAATTTTTTGTAAAAGATTATAACTAGGTAGTTATGGTTTTGTTAACTAAATAATGATTGGTGGAATTCACCTGAGTAAATAATATTAACCAATAAAAATGATAGTTAAAACTTTAAGTTCATATACAGTCTGAGACATATTTGAATGATTAGTATAGTCTATAAAACTTCTTTTATCAAAAATTATTAATCTGAACACTTGTAACTATTTTCAAGATTTCGTTTGTAGAGATTCTGTGTTGCATGTTAGACCTTACAAACTAAAGCTCTCTAACGAGTGGCTGTAGGACGAAGTTGCCTGGAGTTGTAGTGAGAAGTCGTGACCAGAGGGGGTGCATCTAGTCGGGAGTGAGGATGGATTTCCCACCGATGACATCGGTTGGTGGTCACGCTAAATCACGAATTGGTAGAAGTTAGAATTCATGCCCTGGTCATTGAGTCGGGTCCCAGTGGCTGGATGGTATACGAACTTGCCTTGTAACCGGGAAGTCCTGGGTTCGCACCCCCTTGGTGGTTGCGTCCTGACGGTGATTCCCAAACTAGGATAAAACAACTGTCCAGCACTCATCTCAAGTTTGACCACAGATTGATATCAGTTAGAGGACCATTGGAAACCAAAGAGTATTGAACAGCTGTTTCGTCCTAGCCTGGGACTCATCGGCAGTGCATGCACCCACTGGATTTGGAATCCAGGACCTTCTGGTTACAAGACAAGTTCGTATACCATTCAGCCACAGGGATCGAACTCTATGTCCCATGAATTCTAACTTCTACCAATTCATGATCAAATCCCTGAAAATTACCTCTTAAAAGTTAATCTGCTGCTATCTATTGACTAGCTACACGAAGAAGCTGCCTGGAATTCTAATAAGAAGTCGTGATCAATGGGGTCCATCCCTTTGGGAGTGAGGACAATTACTCACCGAAGACATTGACTGGTGTTCGCGTTAAAATCACGTATTGGCAGAAGTTATAATTCTTGCGCTAGCCAATGAGTCGGGCCCTAGGGACTGAATGGTCTACGAGCTTGCCTTGTATCCGGTAGGTCCTGGATGCGACGCCCAGTGGGTATGCACTGATGAAGAGTCCCAAACTAGGGCGAAACAGATGTCCACTACTCCCTGATTTTCAATGGTTGTCTAACTGATATCAATCCCCGGTCAAACTTGAGTGATTTCATTTGTCGCCCTTCTTCAGTTTTATGTTGTACAATGGTTATGGATGTTCCTTTGGTTTCTAAGTGAATGTAGCCAAGGGACAAAATGTAAACATTCCTTAAATATTAGTGAAAATGGTTCAAATATGTATGATGAAAGCATAAAGAAATACCGATAAGTTTCAAGAAAAGGTTGGTGATAACCTTCGCCTTTATTCAGTGTATGCTCAGAAATAAGCATTTTACGGTGTCACACAAAAATAATGATTAGGTAAAAGACAGATGGTGCTGAAGTCAGTGGTATGATTGAAGTAATATTTAGGAAATGTCTGAAAGTAAACCGTTAAAACTGTCAACCATATACATGCCATTACCTGTCTTTATT